TTTTTTTCCAGTTGTTTAAAGAACTGGACTCTTAACCAGACTTGCTAAGGCACAGCAGTAGAAATGTAAAAATTCTATTTTCCTGGTTTAGTGAATACATGGGAGAATACTACTGATACACACATTTATTTTCTACATTGTTGACTGCCTTACACATCTCTTTCACTTTTAATTCCTTAAATACATAAATATGAGTCACAATATCAAAAGCAAGTTTCATTTACAAAGAACATGATTAAGAAATGAAGAAATGGTGTCTTGTAGGGAATTGGTACTTAAAGATTGGTAATGTTTAGAAAACATGTTTAGAAGTTGGTGAGAATGCTATGACTAATTTCATAAGAGCTGTCACGGTTCGGATGACACCTGTTAGTGAAATGTTAAGAGATAATTCCTTTATTGGATGATATTTTTTGTGGATTTAGTTTTTTGGCCAGTTTTGTTTGAAGTTCCTGTTGCATTTTTTACACAACCTAAACTCTAGATATGTCAGAATTAACTTACAATCATCATTCATCGAAGAGTTAAAGTTACCACTGCCAGCTGAGAAAATTTTAAAAAGTAAGCTAGATGGCAGCACTTCCTATTCACATCAACTTAATATGTTCAAGAGTTGGAGGAAAAATTTCAGATCATTCTGTTTTCCCACCACCACACCACTTCGGAGATTTAAAGCAGTTCTGAAATCCTGATGTTACTTCAAAAGTTTCAGCTTACTATCTCAGGCCTCCTTACTATGATACAAAATAAATACACAGTGACACTGGTGAGTGGTTACTGTTAGGGAAAACAAAAAGACCCGGCACACCAAGACTGCCCATGATTCTAGTAAATGCTTCCTTCTCCCACTGACCATTCGCATAGACAAGGCTCAGGCTCACAGAGCTCTCTGACTTGCAAGAACAAAACTGAATCAGTAATCCAGACTGTTGACAGCATCTATGCTGCTTTTATAGATGGGGCATATCTTGGGGCATAAAAATGTTTTTCAACATGAATAAGGTTCACTGTAGTTTAAATTCAGCTGCACATTAAGTGCTTAAGTGCTGACAGTTATTAGTTGACAGTGGGGGCAAGAAAAGAAATGACTTAAGTGCTCCAGGAAATGAAAGCATGCTTGTACGCTTTAAGGTTAAGTGTCTGATGATAAGGAAGGGTTAGGTAGTCTTGGAGTCTCAGGGTCAGTATTCATTCAGCAAACATTTACTGAATACCTAATAATTTTTCTTTATTACATGAATATGTTTGTCTTGTCAGCATGGATTTAAGGTAGTTAAAATTTATTACATTCCGAGTTTGGTGTTAGATAGTAGAAAGAAAGAAAGAAAAAGATACATTTCTTGCCTCCATGAGTCACATTTCTTGGGAATGTGAATTTCTAGGGACCCACTCCAGTATATTCTTGCCTGGAGAATCCCATGGACAGAGGAGTATGGTGGTCCAGGGGTTGCAAAGAGTCAGACACGAATGAGCGGCTAACACTTTGAAGCTCCTGCCCTCATCTGTAAGATCTGAAAAAAAATTACTCTCATTTCAAATCAGAAATATTTTACATTAAACAACGTTCTCAGGAATTCCCTGGCAGTCCAGTGGTTATAACTCAGAGCTTTCAACGTGGTGACCCAGGTTTAATCCCTGGTCAGGGAACTAATATTCTGCAAGCCATGCAGTGCCCCCTGAAAATAATGTTCTCAGGGGTTATGAACCCTGACAATAATGCAGGACGGTCAGGGCAGGTGGGGGGCAGAGGACAAAATAGAAAAAAAAAAAAACAAAAACCTGTCCAGATTATATTTAAGTGAAATACAAAATTTTGAGAAGACGTAACTAGTTCTATGTTCCCAAGAGTAAGAGTGGCAAGGGGGTTTAAAGGTCTCCCCAGAGTACCTCAGATTCTCCTGTCTGATGTATCATAATGAGAGCATTTCTTATCTTCCTTTACTATGGCGTCATAAAGCAAGTCCCCAGCCTCAAAAAAAAGCATAGCTCTTGATATCAAGGGACATCTAATTTATGTTCTAATAGTAACAGACTGTGTACTGGTAAAATGAATTCACGTCTAGTATTTTCACATTATTGACAACATAGAAAAGAAATATTTGTGTGTCTATAGACACACAGAATAGAAGTCCAGGGTGGCAAACTTAGAATCTGCATATCAAAAAGGTATTTGTCCAACTGTGTTTTCTATGTAGGTCATTAACAAGACTACATAGAAACTACATCTAAAAATAAGTAGTCTTACATTTTGCAATTCCCTAAATGCTACCCATAAACAGTTTCTAAAAAACAGCAGAGTGAAAACAAATCTGATGAAATCAAGGTGTTAAGTTTTTTAAAATGAATGATAATTTGATTGCTGAATGTAGATAGCGTGGAAGGAAGTTTTCCAACCCTTGGTCTGAAAGAAATATTTATATCCAGGTAAAGCACAAAGGCAATGAGGATTAACCAACAGGAAAAAAGGGTCCAACCACCAATACATATGTGATGCTAGCAGGTAAAGCGGCGCTCTGGAGAGGGTGCACGGGCTCTAACCTCGGCTAAAGAAGGTGCTGGAGCTTGCCTGACCGTGGCAGCTCCTCCACCCATCTCAGCGCGTCTACGAGGGATCCTCATGAGCTTTTAGCACAACAAGGGAAGGACTGTGCCCTGGAGTCCCCCCACTTGACAAAGACCTCTAGAGGAACCCACCATATTTCAAAGAGCATGAAAAGCCACTTACAAACTAAAACCAACTAGAGTTAGAGTCCCATTACTATTGAAACTAAACGTCTGTGTAGAAGGTATCTTGGTAAGAATCTTGCCTACACCCAATCTTAGAGTCCCTTTCATGGCATTTAGGAGAGATGGGATATTTTAGCTTTTGTTTGGGTGTCTATAGCAACTGGAAATTCTACTACTTGAGTCCATTCCTCTTTAGAATAACTCTTATTGCAAAGTTCTTTTTTGCATTGAAGCAAACATCTGTCATCCATAAAGCTCCTCTTTTTGCCTTTTGAAGCAACACAGGAAAAGTCCAGTTCCTCTCCACATTTATAGTTCAACGGAGATTTCAAGGCAGCTATTATATCATCCCCTCTTTTTCCATTTGCAGCTATACCTTCTGTTCTTCAGGTGAACTATTGCCCGATTCCACGTATAATCAGACTCTTCACGATCCTGGCCACCTGCCCCTGGACGCAATAATTTATTAATGTCTCTCTTATAATGTGGTTTCCAGAACTGAACCCAGTCCTCCACCAGGTGTGGCCTGAGCTGTGCAGGGCTCCCTAGATTTCTGTCACCACAGGCCAAATGTGTTAGTTTAGCCGTGATATACCCCTGACTCAAAACCGAACTCCTATTTCCCTAAGAAAACATTTCTACAAAAACTGCTGTGAAACCAGGACTTTCTAACATCTTTCCCATTAACACACACATCTGTACACACAGAGGCGCCCTCGTCTATACTCAGAAGGTTGTATTTAAGAAACTCAGAGTATGGGAGTCTCTTGTTAATGCCTGTTCAATTTTATCCTTTTAGTTTCAGTCTTATGTTCACATATTTCAAAAATTATAATGATTTCTGTATCCTAATGTCAGTACATAGTTAGAATTCAGTGAATATTCATGGGATGAATTAATCCTGAATCTACTAGTCAACAGACTAGATATATATGTCTACTTCTGGGTCATCTATAAATCTGATAGGCATACTTTCTGCCCCCCTTACTCTCTTCTTCATCAGAGAACTAAGAAGGCAAATAAAAGCTGCCTTTAAATTGTTGATCCTAGTATTCCCTCTGGGATGTGGAGGTACAGAATGTGAGCAGGAACAGATGAAGAGAAAGAATATTGAGTGTCCTAGATTCTTGGAATCAGGATTTAAGGTTCCCAACATTAGAAAAATATGGCTTTCCCCTATCTCTACCCTAGAGTTTTCTGCCTTTCAGATCTATTAGAATACTGTGATTATCAAACTGTGAATTTTTAGGAAAAGCTCATACAAGCTTAATTTTGAAACAACTTTTAAAATGATCTTTTCAAATTACATTTCCTATAAAGTATGAGTTAGAGACACGAAGGTGTCTACTGGCTATGAGGTATAAAATGGAGTTCCCAAAATGCCCTTGACAAATGCCTGAGATATATGTATCCATTTATTTCAGGAGTCAGAAATGGCATATATTTTTCAGTGTGAATTTAGAAAATCACTGAGATTGAAGCTGTCTCCTGAAATGAATATTATCTCAAAATGAATATTCCTTTTCCCCAGAACGAAGAAAAATAGCTCAATTTTGCTTTCCGTTCAACAGCCACTCTTTGCAGAATACAGGGCTAATTACAGAATTTAAAAGCATCCTATTGTGCCTTTTTCCCCATTGTCTATTGTGACTCAGGATGGTGAACCCTGGGACTGACACTTTAGAAAGATGGAAAAAGTGTTTCAATCTCGAACCTGGAAGAAAACCTTTCAGAAACTTCCTTCTTGCATAGTGCTAACATTTGAAGCGTGGAGACACCTAAGAAAGGTCTAGCAGACCCAGAGAAGAAATCGGTTTTGTACCTTTTGTCATTTTTTCTTTAGAGGGAGTGATGGAGGTGGAGTCTCGGTTAATTAACTTCTCAAGAAATTGTTTTCCAGAAACTGATTGACAGATGAACATCAGGAAGAAATCACACCAACACTGATGGGGGGGTGGATTTCTTTTCCTGACTATTATCAGTCATGACAAGCCATACCCAAGAGCCTTGAGATAAGCAAGAGTGGAGGGAGGCTTAATTATACCGTAAGCTCCACAGGCCAGGTGACCTGTGTGCTTCAAGCATAGTCAGAGCCTCTCCCAGGCAGCCACCTTAGGGTTCCCTGTTAGAATACAGGTAACTACAAAACAGGAGGATCCATACACTGTTCTCCACAGGGAGGAGCCATGCTAGGTACTGACTTGAATTTCAGCTATTCAGGAAGACATCCTATGGTGCCGCTGGGGTCAGGAACCCCCTGCAAGACAGCCTCATCACTGGACCCCACACTCCTTGGGATTTTCCAAGTCGTCTCCTTCCAAGTCCAGCTTCAAACTCTTTTTTTGCTCAATTTCCACCTGTCAAGAAATAGAGGTCAGAGAGAAATAATCAGAAAGAAATATCAGGAAAACATCCCAACAAATAACCAAAAGAGAAAAACCTCACCAGGTTCTTTGAGAGCCCTTACAGTTTGGTTAACAGTCTGGGGTTTAGCCACACCAAGCTACTGGCCCTGTGTAGATCATGGCTCTGAATGTGCACATGCCCTTGGCTTGGTCTGGAATTCCTCTCCCTCGGTCCACCTGAGAAATCCTTCTTCTTTGCCTTGCACAGTTGCTCAAAGATCACCTCTCCTGTAAAGCTCTTCTTGACTCCCCAGGTAGAATCAGGTGCCCCCACTGTGTATATTTCCCCTGCACCCTATACACTCGCCCAGCCCCACTACAGCACAGGCCCTGTAAGACAGGGCAGGCCCTTTTAACTATTAAACCCCAATAATATAGGCAAACACAAAGGTTTATCAAATGAATGGATTTCTTTGCAGTTGGCTGTGTACACTCTCTCTGACTTTGTCCCTTTAAACAGTCTGCGGAGAATCCCCTGGCAGTCCAAAGGTCAGGACTCCGCCCTTCCACTGCAAGGGGCACAGGTTCGATCCCTGGTCAGTGAATTAAGATCTTACATGCCGTGTGGCAAAGCCAAAAAACAAAATATATATATATATATATATATATATATATATATCCAGTAGTATTTACAGTTCTGCCTGTATCTTTTGCAGAATCAGTTCAGTTCAGTTGCTCAGTCATGTCCAACTCTTTGCGACCCCATGGACTGCAGCACGCCAGGCCTCCCTGTCCATCACCACCCGGAGCTTACTCAAACTCCTGTCCATTGAGTTGGTGATGCCATCCAACCATCTCATCCTCTGTCGTCCCCTTCTCCTCCCGCCTTCAACCCTTCCCAGCATCAGGGTCTTTTCAAATCAGTCTGTTCTTTGCATCAGGTGGCCAAAGTATTGGAGTTTCAGTTTCAACATCAGTCCTTCCAATGAATATTTAGGACTGAATTCCTGTAGGAATACTACAGCTTTTGCAGAATACTATAGCTGTTAATTATAAAGAGATTAATCAATTAATCTTGTCTTGAGAGTGACACACCTCATCTTTTGAGTTTGGGAGCTTCATAATGAAAGCCGCTTCTCTCAATACTGATATTTATAATAATGAGGGAAAGAATTCAAGACAAAACGGTTGACTAGGATCATTTGTGAAGAAAGTGCTGAAAAAAAAAAAAAGTGCTGAGTTGTTTTTTTTTCTGGCCACAAGGTGGAGTATTTGTTCTTTTCAGTAGTTGAATGTTTTGGATCGTACAACTAAGGAAACATTTAAAGAACAATTAAATGATGGTATAAATCTACGGGTGTTATTATGAATAGAAAATCATTAAACCACTTTGCCAAATCCTTCTTCAGTATGCCCGCTCCGGCCCCCTGCCCATTTTCCATCTTTGGCATTTAATCTCCTCCTGTGCGTGTGTGCTCAGCTGCTTCAGTCGTGTCCGACTCTTTGCAACTTTATGGACCGTACCCCTCTAGCTCCAACTGTCCATGGGATTCTCCAGGGAAGAATCCTGGAGTGGGTTGCCATGCCCTCCTCCAGGGGATCTTCCTGACCCAGGGATGGAACCCGCATCTCGACGTCTCTTGCATTGGTTCTTTACCACTAGCATCTCTTCCTACTGAATCTCTTAACTCCCCAAGATATAATCACTCTTTATGTCAGAACTCTCCAGCTTCACACCCCCCTTTGCAGCCCTGATCCTACTACTACTATAAAGGTTTGCCTGGCTTTTGAGATTGCTCTGTTACAGTCCAGTGACCAGGTCAGATGTGTCTTAACATCACTCAGATCCACTTTATCAACATCTGCAGTTGAAATATATGCTTAAGAGTTAACATCTTCCTGAGCCTGCCTGCACTTTCAAACCCACTCCCCTGCACATAAATTATATGATAAACAAGTAATAATAATCCCCTAACCCCATGGCTCTTTTGTCATTCATACTGAGACATTATATCCTCCTCTTTCATTAGCCTCTCTTTCCAGCCTTTCTGTTGCCCACGAGTGGGTTTATTCACTTAACTCAGAGCAGCTTCAAGCACAGCTATGCACGCTGGGCCACCGCCATGGTGACCAGAGCGCCTGTCTGCACCCTGGGCGGGCACTGCTAAAAGGAATGGGAGCAGGGAGCGTCTGGGGGTAAACAGACAGACTTGGAAGCATTAGCCAGATGCCCCCTGAAGCTACCTTGTAGCTGTAGTGTGCGGAATAATTGACCCACTTCCTGACATCCGTCTTGTCTTCCACCGAGATGGATCTCACAGCAGCTTTGGAGGCAGACGTTGTAGGCATGCTGAACTCGACGTTCACATGATTGGCAAATCTGGAAGGCACTTCCCGGTCTGAGCCAAGTTCAAGGTGGCAGAAGAAACAGTGTGGGTGACCAGAAGCTATAAAAGAAAAACAAAGAATCTAGGGTTTGGGTTCTCTGGCGAAGAAGTGGAAGGAGAGTCTCAGTAACAAAGCAAGCCTGGCAGCCTTTCAGAGGGTCCAACGCTGAGCTGAGGACTGGCCTCGGTGGAAATCACACTGCATGTATGTGCCTCAGACTGCTGAACCTAACACCGTCTCATTACGGTAGCCTGGTATCCTAGCAATAAAACCCGTGACCTGGGAAGTGAGGCTCACTCTGCCTGCTCAGGTCAGAGCGTGACGTGAACACAGCACAAATACCAGGAAACAGAGATTGTAGATTGGCAGAAAGGAATGAAAGAGATCAGCACCTAGCACCTAATAAAACATCAAAGGCAGACACCTGGAGCAAAATCATCAATTTCTATTGAAAGCTGAATTGAATTTTCTTCACAGCAATTCATGTTTTTTTAAATGCTCTTGGCATGTTTTTCAGGTGAATGAAATATGTAAATAACAAAGCCCTTAGAAACTGCACACAGGCATTAGGGAAGCATGGTTTCCAAGATATCTTCCTAGGGAGACATCTGGGAAAGAATCTGCCAATGCAGGAGACCCAGGTTCCATCCCTGGGCCATGAAGATCCCCTGGAGGAGGAAATGGCAACCCACTCCAGCAGTCTGGCCTGGGAAACCCCGTGGACAGAGGAGCCCAGCGGGCTACAGTCCACGGGGTCGCAATGAATCAGACACAAGTGAGCATGTGGTCAGGCGCATGGAACGCCGGAGAGAACACAAGACTAAGGGCCGGGACCTGTCAGTCCTGGGTTTGACCTGCGACTCTCCTGAGTGCGAGGGCCCCACACCCAAACCCTTGTTCTCTTCATGCTTCTTCCTCAAGGATGAAGTGCGGAGTTGGGGGTTGGTAGGAAAGGGAGAGCTGAACAAGGCCAGGCATTGGCCCTTACTGCTATTTAACGCTATAAATCTGTGGCTGGTCCTGCAGTATCTGGAAGGCAAACTTATGGTCTGATTTTCATCTGAAGATTGTTACCAGGTTGTTTGAGGCAGAAGAGCCAGAACTGAGCTCCCTGACTCACCACGGACGTGCCGCCGCCGCCGCTGGTCGGACGCAGCAGGAGATGTTTCCTGGGGGTCCTGAACCAGGTCGTGTGCAAAGTGCTCCCTGCAGATTTCTCACTGCATCTTCATAACCGTCCCCTGAGGCTCTGATTTTGTTACATTTGTACAGATGAGGAACTAAGGCTACGGGAGGTGAGGTCGACTGCCCAGGGTCACAGCTAGCAAGTGGCAGAGCCAAGAAAACTGGACCCAGCCGTCCGCCTTCCAGACGCTCTTAACCGATCTGTCTGTGTGACAACCTCAGAGTCCTTAAACCTCGGTACCAGGGTTTGCAGGGTGACAGGGGTGGAGAAAAAGCCTAAGGACCCAGACTCACTCTGGATAAACAGTGTGCCTCTGACTCCATGATGTAACTGGAACAGCCCGAAGTTATCTGAGTTTCCCCAAATAAACAATTCCAATTTCCTCTATTGGTCTGGGCAGGACTTTTTAATCTCAGAGTGAGGACATACACACCCGCTCTCCAAGGAAAACATTAGAGAGAGAAGTATTTGTTTTGCTCTGTTTCACAAATGTGACATATTTCAGTGGTTCTTTCTAAAACGTAATACTTAAGAAAAAGACGGCAGTTTTTTAGGAAAGGAATTTAAGATACATGTAGTAGTAAAAATTACATTATTTGAAAATCAATTAATTCAGCTTTTTTTTTAACTGTGTAACCACAGATGTCATTATACAGCCATCCCTTACTGAACGTCTATTACAGGCCAGAGACTGTGCTAAACACTGAAAAGCATTATGTAATTTCATTCTTAATGAGCTGGGTATTAATAATGCTGTTTTATAAAAGAGGAAACTGAGATTTCTCTGAAAGGTTTAAGTAAATTGCCAAAGGGAACAGTCATTAACTGTAGTACTAGGAATAAAATTCATATCTAAGTGACTCCAAGTTATGTCCTAGACTCCTCTCAGTATACTGCTATTATATCATTACAAAGTAGATAGAGACGTTTCTTATTTCAATAGCCACCTCAATGACAGTTTTCTCTCATACCCTTATTTACATATTGCTGGAGCACTGAAAACCATAACTTTCCACAAAACTGACCCTCCTCTTCTCGCCCCAACCAAAGAGTATTCACCACAAATTCTATGGAAACAACAATCTTTCTTGAGTTCTGGCATCAACCAATGGACGCTGGGGCTCGTGGACAGATGTGCTGTGTGCTCAACTGTGTCTGACTCTGACCAGCAGACTCCTCTGTCTGTAACCCACCAGGCTCCTCTGTCCAGGCCATTTTTTAGGCAAAAATACTGGAGCGGGTGGGTTTCTCTGGTGGCTCAGCCAGTAAAGAATCTTTTGCCTGCAATGCAGGAGACCTGGGTTCGAACCCTGCATCTGGAAGATCCCCAGAGAAGGGAATGGCAACCCACTCCAGTATCCTTGCCTGGAGAATCACATGGACAGAGGAGCCTGGCGAGCTATAGTCCATGGGGTCTCAAAGAATCGGACACGACTGAGTTACTCACACTTTCACTTTCTCTGGAGTAGGTTGCCATTTCTTAACTCCAGGGGATCTTCCCGACTCAGGGATTGAACCTGCATCTCTTGCATCTCCTGCATTGGCAGGTGGATTCTTTACCACTGATCCACCTGGGAAGCCCAACAGATAGGGAAGTGCAATTTTGAAAGCTAGTATGGTTTCACAGCAATGAACTAATTAGCTTACACATTGTGTCATCTTAATGATGTTGAGAAAATTTAACATTAAAATTCAGACTGCTATTTCTCATGGAAGGGGAACCCTACTGGAATTGTTTCCTCTTTACCTGATATAACAAGAACTGGAATTCCAGCAAAGAAAGCTACCTGTGCAAGATAGAATGTTTTGTTCCCAGGTAGTCAGCCTGGGAAAGCACAGAACTTGTTCCGGTACCTTCTAGGAATCAGGAACGCCCTGGAGATTAGGATGAGAGGGAGAACACGGATGGGCCCTGCTGGCGGGAGCCATGTAGGAATCCAATGGGGGGCCTTGTTAGCCTTTTGCGGGCTTGTTGGGGTGGCCCTGCTGTGACTGCAGGCTTGGGGTGCTGGTAAGGCCTGGGATGCCAGCCTGGCCATTGCTGCCTCTTGGTCTGACCATCCCGCCTCCGGGAGCTAGGGTTGCAGGGCCAACACAAGTGGGATACACGGGCAGAGGTTCAGTCCTCTTCCACTGCAGAGACGTGAGGATTCTGACAGCCTAATAGAGACACCTTCCCAAAGCTATCCCTAGGACTGAGACAGAAGAGCTCAGGAAGGTGATAGTTACTAATAGATGATCCATCACCAGCTCTCTGCGTTCATGGATGGAGCGAGCCCTGGATGGGGAAGGCAGGGGGCTCAGAACACAGAATACCAACAACGGTAAGACCCTGCAGTCTGCCAGGAATTCAGATCCTGTACCTGTCCAGTTGCCAGAAATGGGTGCTATCAATGTCCTGAACCGATACAGAAATATACCATTGGACAGAAGCAGAATAAGAAGTTCTCTGGGTGGGGGGTGGGATTTCACTTCTAAAAACATACAACCATGACAGCAAATCAGCAATTGAGGAGGGGATGGGGGTCGGTTTAAGTGAAAAACATCCCCAGGTATTCTTGCGGTGTCCTGTATTTTAACAATCATTCACAAGAAAGGTGCCACTAAACCTGGAAATAACCTATGTGATATATAGGCTGCACTTCCCTGGCCTTGAGCCTGCTGAATACTTCCTGCCTGGGAAGCATTAATAGTTGCTGTTGCTGAGGACTATTTATTCCCTATCCTGTATCTTCTCCCTTTTTAATCTGGTAACCATCTTTTTTTTTTCTTCTCTCTCTGAGAAATAACTCTTCCCTAGCACTGCATCTCGGGAGAAGGAAATGGCAACCCACCCCAGTATTCTCGCCTAGAATGCTAGAATTCTCGCCTAGAATTCCGTGGACAGAGGAGCCTGGTGGGCTGCCGTCCACAGGGTCGCACAGAGTTGGACACGACTGAAGCAACTTCAGCTGCGGCGGCAGCAGCCCACGGCGTGTCATCCTGGTGGTCATGTCCATCACGCCCTTCGAGCCTTGGGAAGTGGCACGAACAGCTCGCGGGGGTTCATCCGAAAGCTGCAGCCTGAGGATTCCTCCCACAGCTCCTGCCATCCAGGATCATCCTTCCAGAAGCCTGCTTGTTCCTCTAGTTCTCCGAGACCACCTGTATCTTCCCCACAGTGTCTCTCTTTTTGCTGAAAGAAGCCAGTCAGTCTCTGCGGCTTATAAAGCCCCTCACGTGGTACCTTTCCATATTTGAGAGAAGGAACTTTGAAGCAAAGCAGGTATGTGAGGAAACTGCAAATCTCTGTGCTCATAATGGAAGTTACTTCAAGTCTGTGTTTTGTATGACGAACTGAGAGGCAGCGGTGCTGTCGAGAATGAAAAAAGACCCTGGATGTGATGGGTCATGTCACTCCTGGTCCTTCATTTTCTTGTCTGTGGAAGGAAGAGGTTTGCCTAAAGTCATCCCACAGGTCCCTCCCAGCTTGAAAATCCAGTTATTCCATAAGGAAGTGGTCTGAATCCATGCTTAGTAAATTGCAGAGCTGAAAATCCCAGTAAACACAAATCGGAGGCCCTGTTTTTTCTGATGTCATGCCTCCAGCAGGCTAAACAGCAATTTTCCCCCTGTGACCTTGGTTCTGTTCTCAGGGGGCATCCGTGCCACAGGAGAGGCAAGGGCCTCTTCTCTCTGCCATCAATTCAGATGGGCCAAGACAAAAATCCTGGTGCCATCAGCCAGCTGAAAGCGTGCTGGCCTCGGAGAAGTGAATAAGCAGGTACTGAGAGCAAGGCCTTAAAAATCGTGTCCACTGAGAAACAGGGTGGCCAGCCCAGCCTCAAACACAGAAGCCCGATTGTCTCCAGTCTGCACCGCTACACCCAGCGTCGGACACAGAAAGCCCTGGTGTGTGTCCACCGCCTGGCCCGCCAGGGGAGCTGACCAGATCGCATTGCCTCTTGGCTTCATGTCATATTGCATCTAGGGTGAAACACAGCCACTCCGCACTCCGAACAGGAAATGAAGACTCTAATTATGTTGTTAGGATTTAACAGGGAGAATGGAATAAAGAGTATCTGCAGAAGGGAAAGTTCAACCAGCAGTTTTTCCAAACATTCGTTGTTGTTGTTGTTGTTGGCCAAAATACCCACTTTTGTTTATTACAAACGAGAAGTGGTTTAAAGGACCATGGGCTTATTGCCTGCCATTGGGATCGCCCAGACTTACTCTAAGAAATAAAACTATTAGAGCTGGTTTGATCACTCCCCAGTTTTGTCATTCCACCAAATCTCACCAGACCCAAGAGGAAAGCCGTTGCCTTCGGGTCCACTCAAGCAGACAAGCACCCCCGTTCACTGCGCACAGGCCAGCAAGGGATGGTAAGCTGTCTCCTTTGAGCAAACACTCCTTCCCTTACTTTCTGCCAGGGAACATTCCAGTCCTTCTGGACCTTCATGTTCTAGCTGTCTGCGGTCTGATCAGAGGCCCCTTCTCTCTCTCTCTCAGAGTCGCTCAGTCGCGGACGATTCTTTGCGACGCCATGGACTGTCTGCCAGGCTTCTCTGTCCATGGAGCTCCCAGGCAAGAATCCTAGAATGGGTTGCCATTCCCCTCTTCAGGGGATCTTCCCCACCCAGGGATTGAACCCGGGTCTCCCACATTGCAGGCGAACTTCTTTACCATCTGAGCCACCAGGAAGCCCTGGGAAGCCCCTTCCCCGTGCCCAAATCCCAGTGCTAAGCTTGGGACGTTATGATTGACAGGCTTTGCACAGGGTTACAGGAATCATCAATCCAACCCCCGTCTACACTGTACACGATGGGCCTTCACCCGGCCCTTTTCCCCGCACTCAGGCAGGGAGACCTGGCGTGCAGCAGCCCAAGGGATGGCAAAGAGCTGGACATGACTCAGCTGCTGAGAAAAATAATGCATCATTCCACGAAAGAAGTGTGAAGAAGGTAGGGGAATAAAAAGATGGAGGGACCTGGGTCATGCAGGTTTGTAACTTAACCTCGCTCAAGTCACTTGTGCTTTCTGGCCGTCCATTCCCCCGTCCCTCCCCATCACCATTCCCCTCACATAGCACAAAACCAGCACTTCGCAGGGGAAGAGAAAGCAGCACTTGGACCCCAGCTCCTTCGCCCCCCAGTGCGGCGGCTCTCACAGAAGACAGAGCTCTGCCTACCTGAGTTTTTGTCGGGCAGTCGGTTTATCCTCCACACGATGGCATTGAAGGCATGCTCGTACTTGGCAGTCCCCAGGGTGACTCTCATGACCGGCTCAGAGCCGGAGATGCTGGCTGAGCCAAAACTTGCCCCCCGGTTCACTTTGGCTTTCAGAGACTTCTCCCCCAGGACGCTTTCCCTGCGGAAGTTTTTCACCCACTCGCTGGGCACGGGGTAGCGGACCATCACATTCTCGCAGGGGACCTGGGTGAGGGGGTCCCAGTTGGAGGAGAAGCCCGCCGACATCCTCAGCCAGCTCTGCACCTCCACCTCCGCCCCGTGGATGCTCGCCGCCGTCCTGAGCGTGAAGGGCAGGGTCTTCTCGGCGAGCACTGTCCGGAACCGCATGAGCTCAAAGCGGCAGGCGTCCAGAGGGTTGAAGAGGATGACGCGCGAGCTGCGGAACACGTCCTCATCCACGCAGCCGTGAAAGCGGCACTCATGGAGCCGGATCCACTTGGTGGTGGTGGTGGGCACGATGTCCTGGCGGGACACCACCTCGTTCCCTTTGACCAGGACGTCGTTGAGACCCAGCCGGCACTCGGCCAGGCCCGAGAGGAAGCTCAGCACATGGATCCGTGTCAGGACACGGTGCCGGAGGATCTGGTTGTCCCCCTTGCTCACGAGGCCAGAGAACTCATCCTGGACGTCCACCGTCATCTCCTCTTCCAGGTAGTTCAGGCCGACCGTGCTCAGCTCCATGGACAACACGGGCAGCTCCATGAGGCGGTCCTGAACCGCCCGGATGAAGCTCAGGAAGTCCTCATAGTTGGTGGTGCCCAGCTTGATGACTTGCTCCCTCTCGGCCGAGTGAGCCACGGCGGGTTTAGGCTGGTACTTCTTCTTCTCCTTGTAGGTGACGCGGTCTATCCGCAAGCTGTGGATCCTCCCGTTCTCGTCGTAGTTTTGGAGCCGGGGTTCGGAAATCTCATGGCACATCTCCAGCTTGAACTCACGGAATGGCCTCTCCAGGCCCTGCTCATAAAACAGCTGCAGGTAACCACCGGCCGTCAGTTTGACGTAGATGGGTCCCCAGTGCCTGGAGGACATGATGTTCTTCTTCTCGGGGATCCTAAGCATCATGGGCCACCCGTCTCTGGGCGGGGACTGCTCGGAGCCGGCTGGGTCCTCATCCAGTTCAGTCCAGGCGGTCGGGTCATCATCAGGGAGTGTTGCACCCTCCACGTGGTCAGAATCCTCGATTTGGAGCCGCTTGAGTTTTTCCACAGCATCCGAGCGTGACTGGTTTCGGCTTGAGTCATCAAAACTGATAGCGTCCCGGTAGACGACAATGAGGGAATCCCTCTGGCTCTTGCCTGGGGTACCGGACACAGAACTGTTCTGGGCTCGCCTCTCCTGCTCCTCAAAGAAAGCCCGGAAAGGGTTGATGGGGGACGGCTGTACATCCTGTAGCGTCTCATTCAGAAAAGGATTGGTGGCCCTCCAAGGTGGAGCCTCGGGCACGGCAGGCGGATGGCTTACGGAGGACACGTCTAGCTTCTGAACTTTGGAGAAGTTTATCAAAGTGCTCTTGGGCCGCTCCCGCTTCTTAAATGACCCTGTTGAGTTGTAAGGTCCATCTGGGGTCACGGAGGCAAGAGGCGGTGTTTCTGGCTTCAGAGGAGACGTGATGGGGGATAAAGGGCTGCTGACTTCATTGTCATCAAAAGTGACCCAGCTGGGGAAACGCGCAGAGGTCACTGGTGTGGCGGGGTGTCCGTTCACGGCTGGGCTGCCAGCCTGCCAGCTGATGGCCTCCATCTCTACCTCTTCATCCTCCTGCAGAGAGGAGGAATTGTCTGAAAGGAAAAGGAGAACACGTGAGGGATTGCTGCTCAGGGCCTCTAGGAATATGGGGATGAGGGAGTTTTGCTAGAATTTTATCTGGAATCCAGTAAATTCCAAAGCAGTTCATTACCTGTCGCAAGTGTTTAGTCTGGCACAGCTCTTACAGTTTTGTAGTAAGCACACCAGAGAAAGCAGAAGTCACTCAGTCGTGTCTGACTCTCTGCGACGCCATGGACTATAGAGTCCGTGGGATTCTCCAGGCTAGAATACTGGAGTGGGTAGCCTTTCCCTGCTCCAGGGGGTCTTCCCAACTGAGGGATCGAACCCAGGTCTCCTGCATTGCAGGCGGATTTTTTATCGTCTGAGCCACCAAGGAAGCCCCCCAGAGGGCCGCACGTTAAAGCAGTAAGAGTGCAAACGGCAATACAGAAGCACTGGTAGAACCCAGGTCCATCACAGTTTAACTCTTACACACTCTACTTTATTTTATAGAAGTTTCTGGAATAGGTTTCTTTTCTTTTTGACTCTAATGTATGTATTCTTAATTGTTAAACATCAAAACCACCTTTTACATAAAACGATATAAAGCTGATCACATTGAACAAAACAAGCCATATGCTCTAAGTGATGATATGACTATGAATAACGTAATTGGAGGGATTTTTACCCAAATGTGATCAATAAATACTAAAGACAACAAAATCCTAACATCCTTAATATGAAATAAGTTTCATATGCAAGTGAATAAGAAAACTATAAAAACTTGACATACAGGCAGAGGACAGATAGACAACCCAGGAAAGAAAAAGCAAAAATGTCTAATAACCAGGTGGGAAATGTTCAGTTTCACTAGTAATAAGAAAAATGAAAATTAAATCCCCCGAAAGAAAGTGAAGATTTTCCAAGTTTCAGTATTTGATGAGGGTAAGGGTGCTATAATATGAACAGTAAATAGATCCTCAGTGGGACTATAAGTTGCTATAAATTCTCTGAAAATGGTTTGGCAGTTTGTATTAAGGGTCTTACAATGACTTAGTAATCTTACCCTAAGGAAATGAACATAAATTGTGAACCAAGTTTGGGGTGAATGTTAGGAAACTGAGGCACACAGTGGAATAACATGCAGCTGTTAAAATGTTTACAAGTCGGTAGAAATATAAGAAAATGCTCCTGATATTAATCTCTTCTCTTTTCTCTAAAATATTTTTCCATCTTGGGGTTTATTTGATAAAGAAAAAAAAAAAGATTATTATAAATAAAACTCCACTCTTGCAGGGCCTGCAAGGAAGGAGCTGCAAAGTTGAGTTTCAAGCAGGAAAATCCCAGACCTTTTCAGTAAAGACCCTGTGTATCTGCTGTGGCTGTGGGAAGGGGCGGGGGGCGTGGGGCCTTTACAAAGCCAGGAGTGGATTCCGACGAAGGAATGTCCCAGAAAACAAATCAGTGTCTGGCATAGAGCCAATATTCAGTAAAGGGTTGTTAACTGAATGAGTTGAGAAAAGAAACTCTGCTTTGGAGCAGTTGTGTTCTCACTGTCTCTGTAGAAATGTGTATCGGGATCTCCATTCCACCCACTGTTTCCACCTCCAGACATCTGGACACAAAGAGAAATGAATATTCAAACGGTTGAGTTTTCTTACCATCCTGTTAAATCTTCATGAATATGATACCCAGCCACACCAAATCAGCAGTGTGACACATAATTAAACACATAATTACACGTGGATGGGAGGGCTACCTGTCATCCATCTTTCAAAGTATATTTATTCAAACAAATAGTGATTACCTCTACTGAAAGCATCAGTTTGAAAATGTAAGCTGAATACATGCACACACACACATACATACCCACACTCACCCCAGAAATAAAATGAGCAGAAAGTATTTTCTACATGTACAACATCACAAAATAATTTCAAAGCTTTTTAAAATTAAAGAGGAGACTCTCCTTCAAATGAACCATTAATCTACTTTTGTAGATGTAGAAGTGATTTATTTTCTGGAAAATGAAGGGAAAGGAACCAGAAAACAATTGAGGTTTGTAGGGCATATTTTACTACTGCTACTACTGTTTGATAACATTATTTGACAACATTATTATTACTGTTGTGGTGGTTGTAATGAAGGCTAAAGGGAACAATGTAGCCCTGAGTAAAATATAATCACTACCTTGAAACAGTAACTGAACCTCCCTAGGGAAGGGGATGTATCACAAAATGTATCACTTTCTAATGAAGCAGCTCTATGGAGCTTTTGTGGACAGTATTTCCACTCACAGTCTGGTGCTGACTCACCCCTTGTACTAGGGACATCCTTTCTGCCTTGGAGCTCAGGACTACTCCCAAGCTTCACATGTACCCTAAGTCCTTTTTGGTTGGAGGGTGGATTCTGCCAAAGCTGTTTATTCTTGCTGCCAAAGGATTTTCTTCTGTTGGGAATTTTGTCCCCAAAATAGCACTTTCCATCCTCTCCCAAACTGAAAAAAAAGGGGGGGGGGCCCTTTGTCTCCACTGAAGATAATTAAATTTTCTTACAGTAAGTCTTAGAATTTTAAGCCAAGTTACTTGAAATCACACCAAGTCCTAGATAGTTTTGAAGCATTAGACTTATAATACAATTTAAATTAAGTTATCTTTAAATTGGGGGCTTCTCTGGTGGCTCAGATGGTAAAGAATTTGCTGACAATGAGGGAGACCCAGGTTTGATCCCTGAGTTGGGAAGATCCCCTGGAGAAGGAAATGGCAATCACTCCAGTATTCTTGCCTGGAGAATTTCATGGACAGAGGAGACACAGTCCATGGGGTTGCAGAGAGTAAGACACAACTGAGCAGCTAACACACACACATCTCCAAATTTGGAGGCAAATTTTTTTAATTAGATCAATTTCTACAGATTCTATATCCATTAAATAGTATCAAAAGATTGTTACAAAGCTACCTCTTCTTTGGCATCTTCATCTTCCATGATTGCAAACTGTTTTAAAAATCCATCTTTGGGGATGGTAGTAATGTAAGAGGTCAAATTTCTGAAAATGAGAATTTGGTTTTCTACAAAAACATTTATAAGGAAAAAAATAATAAAAGCACTTTTCTGGATGAAAAACAAAATTGGTTCATAGTTCACAGAGGGTCACGGCAGTTCATATTTTCACCTGAAAATAAAGCATTTCTTGAGGCGAACCTACAGTTCAGTACAGTTCAGTTCAGTCGCTCAGTCACGTCCGACTCTTTGCAACCTCATGAATCACAGCATGCCAGGCCTCCCTGTCCATCACCAACTCCCGGAGTTGACTCAAACTCATGTCCATCGAGTCGGTGATGCCATCCAACCATCTCATCCTCTGTTGTCCCCTTCTCCTCCTGCCCCCAATCCTTCCCAGAATCAGGGTCTTTTCTAATGAGTCAACTCTTCGCATGAGGTGGCCAAAGTATTGGAATTTCAGCTTCAGCATCCATCCTTCCAATGAACACCCAGGACTGATCTCCTTTAGGATGGACTGGTTGGATCTCCTTGCAGTCCCAGGGACTCTCAAGAGTCCTCTCCAACACCACAGTTCAAAAGCATCAATTCTTCGGCGCTCAGCTTTCTTCACAGTCCAACTCTCACATCCATACATGACTACTGGAAAAACCATAGCCTTGACCAGACGGACCTTTGTTGGCAAAGTAATGTCTCTGCTTTTTAATATGCTATCTAGGTTGGTCATAACTTTCCTTCCAAGGAGTAAGCGTCTTTTAATTTCATGGCTGCAGTCACCATCTGCAGTGATTTTGGAGCCCCCCAAAATAAAGTTTGACACTGTTTCCACTGTCTCCCCATCTATTTCCCATGAGGTGAACCTAAGGACTGCCAAAACCTGCTTTAAAACTTCTCCCCTATTAACACCAAGTTCTATCCCTGGGTCGGGAAGATCTCCTGGAGAAGGGAATGGCTACCTACTCTAGTATTCTTGCCTGGAGAATCCCGTGGACAGAGAAGCCTGGCAGTTTACAGTCCATGGGGTCACAAAGAGTTGGACATGAATAAGTAACTAACACTCTCTCACTTTCTAAATACCCACTAATAGGAGACTGTTTATATCAATTGTTATATCCTCAAACTGGAACCCCATGCATCAGTCATGATGATGCTGTTGATGATGTTAATGCACATGGAAGCTGATCATGATATCTATATTATTGAGTAAATAACAAGAGCCCACAATGTGGAGTCAGACTGCCTGGGTTTCAATTCCATATCTGCAGCTTATTAGCTGTATGACTTTGGGCAAGTTGTTTTAACTTCAGTGTCTTAGCTTTCCCATTAAGGAAACTAGGAAAATATTAAATCCTCCCTAACAGGGTTGCTCAGAAAAATTAATCCAGATGTTAGAATTGTGTTTGGCAAACATTAAATGTTAATTAGATGTTGGCTGCTATACCTACTGTTGTTGCTGCTGCTAGAATGATATATACTCATGATATAAAGTGTATAAACATATTAAAAAGCTTTTTGATGTGAAAACAAATATGTGGGGTAAGAGGTGATTTTTGAAATTCTAACTCTGTAGTCTTTCCGTCCTTCAAAAATGCTGTGTTGCTTACAAAGTAAAGAAATACTAAAAGGTCAAAATGTATCTTTATGCCTCCCACTAACTAACCTTAGAGAAAGAAAACCAAGAGCTTTGCTGTAGTCTGTGTTGATAAAGCAGCAGTTAGATCTCTCCTAAGACACCTGTGACTGGTGTGGCTGGTTTAGAAACAATAAGCAGAGGGGAAAGTCTGGCAAATTTCTCCACTAAGAAACCAGCAAAATGAATTATTTTCAGAATAACATTATCATCCACAATTCTGTTTTACTGACTTATTAGAATATAACCAAAAATCCAACTTCACTTTACTTACTCTCTCTTCCACTCACTACCTCCAAATTACTTTTAGTATTATGAGTTGGCGGTGGTGGTTTAGCCACCAAGTCGTGTCCGACTCTTGCAGCCCCATGGACTGTAACTTGCCAGGCTCCTCTGTCCATG